TTGGGGCTGTCCACATCTTCTTAGATTTTATTCTGTTCTTTTTGTTGTTTTTTTTTCCTTTATTATGTGATTTAATTAGAAGTTTAGTAATTTTAAAACTACCTCTAGAGTTTTTAAGAAAGTTCCTTTAATAGTAAAGCATTAAGTTGCTTAAAGTGCTTCACAGAACTAAACCTTGGAAGCATTTCTGAACTATTTCCTCTGCTAAGCAAGAGGGATATTACGAAATGAAGCAAGAAAGGAAACAATATTTCATTTGTATGGAAGGGTAAAGTAGATTTAATCTAAAATGGGCTACTTCAGTATTGATGGTTTACTTGTGGAGTTCAGCAATTTTTATTTTAAAATCTTATTGATATTACCTCTGCTGCATGTAGGGCAAATCAATCATTGCTGCTCATCGTGGCTATCAAAAAGCCAAAGCACTGGAAGTTTGGGGCGGTTTGTAGCTTTGAATACAGCTGTCTTAATTTTGAAACAAAAACGTTCAGCTTCTGGCACCTCACATAGTAGCATTTCTCATGTTTTTTAAAGAGCTATTAATGTAGTCAAGCTGTGTTTTTTCTTCTTCTGTGGGTAATCATCTGCACTCTCTAACTGGTAGAAGGAGACGGAGGAGTGGCCAGCTGTGATTGATGGGGTGAGGCCCAGCAAACCAAAAGAGTCCCATCTGGATTAGGTTTTGGGAGCAGCCAGATGTTGCGAGGGAGGTCAGCAAAGCCTTGCGTTGGCTCCCCCTCCCTCAGCACCCCGATCACCCACACTCACGCACGCGTTACATCGCTCACGCGCCCTTACCCATAATTGATGCTGGCGTTGGGCAGATGCTGCATGGCCCGGGACTAGAGCAGCTGCTAAGTTTATGGAGGATAAAGGCAGCAGGATGGTACAGCAGGTATTTTCACTTTTATTTTCGCTTGCAACTCTTGATTTTAGCCAAGCCAGGGCATTTCTTATGACCAGCTGCACCACTGCATGCAGGACTTCTAATAGATGTTTTGTTGCTTAAGTCTGAAGGAGGGCGGACTGCAGCGGTGATTGTGTGTCTCTGCTCTGCTCGATATCTCTAACTGAGCCGCTCCTAAAACCAGCAGGTTTACAGTGTAATGTTGCATTTTTCTTCTTTGTTTCCATGCCCTAAGGATATGGTGTAGTTTGGCTCATTTAACTACAGTATGAGAGAGGCTTTCTCTAAATGTGAAATATCTCTTGCCAGGGAAACAAAATGCACCAAACAGAAAATAGAGTAAAACAAACAATAAACTGTTAGTTAGACTTTAAAATGCAGGCAAGCAGAAAGGTTTTCATTGAACACATTTTTATGCTGCAAATGTGATTTTTAAAAAGGAACACTGCATAAGTAATGTTTTCTGTGCTCTGTCTTTTGTGTACAAACATAAGAAGCTTGCTTTATTATGTTTTGACACTTTTCATGCATTTCTTAATAATCAAATCCCTTCAGAGCAGAAGATGCTGAAAAGACATGTTGAGATATGAGATACTGGGAGCACGTTAAGTTCTAAGCTTTTCTTTAAATGAAGTAATATATGTATATATATGGAAAATGAGCAACTTCACTTACCTAACTCACCTACACCATCAGAATTCTTTTTTTTTTTAAGTTTGATATTTAACCAGAAAGCAGTAAATCTGATTTTATACACTGCCACGTAAAGCATATTTTTGAGCTGAAATGTGGTTTTCATTAAAACTCAGGCCAGAACATTTAGCAGAGCCTGACTGTCTGCCATCCTTTGTTCTTCTTTCTGTTGCCAACAACTACTTTATTAAAAACCATGCACAAAGTGAGCATTAAGGGGTCGTTTAATCTTAAAGCTACTTGGAAGTGAGTCTGAAGGGACAACTTCTGTTTAGCCTCTCATGCCTAGATTGTATTAAGTGCTGTCTGTGTACTGTCACCCACAGTTTTAAGATTGCTATAGTACCTGGGTTCATAGGCTAATTTAGGATCAATATTTCCTGTTGCTTTTAGGGCCATTTCATATTTTCAGCTTAACGCGTTAGGTCTGTTTTTTCCTTTGTTCATTTTAGTTCATTATATTTTAAAAAGCACAGTAAAGGGACATTTGAGGTGACTGTATTTAAAGAAGTTTTGATGCTTTAAAATCTATTCAAATGTATCTGTTTTGTAGTCTGAGGTTTCCATCAGCCACATGTACATACAAATGTGCATCAGTTAACACTGCATTGTTCTTGCTATACATTCATATTCCAGACAATGAGCTGTTGGCTTGATACTCATGTAAGTAGTAAAGAACATATTGATACATACATGCTTTTAGACTGCATTCTAACACGGTGTCTCTTGAACAAATTGTGAACTGTATATTCATACTGGTTTTAAAGGCTACAGTGGACACTGATTTTAAGAGATGAACGACTCGGAGTTATTGTTGCTATCATTTTAAACTTACTGCCTATAGTAGAGTGTGCAAGTATCATGTTTTTAGGGGTGTCCCCACAACAGTTTAATGAACATGCAATGCCTGGAGTGATAACCTCGTGTGCCAGTTTTCTACTCTAAACGCGGTGGGATTTTGGGTTTTTTTTATGACAAGGGCTGTAAATCCTTGAATATGTAGAAGTTACACATATATATATGTGTGTGTGTATATATATTTAAAAAAGGCCAAACAAACCCCTGACCCTTTGTTATTTACTTATTAATGGAGTCTTGCTTATAAATAAGTGATGCAGACCTCAGCCTCACAAGTCTAATGAAAGAGGTAGAAGAGGCTCAGCAGTGTGAGGGTGCTGGAATTCCCAGTGCAGTTTGCCATCTTACCACAAATCAAAAAAGTGAATTGTTTGGAGCTACTGGTAAAAAACAATATAGAAATTTGACCCTCTTAATGAAATATTAGCTGTAATTAGCACTGAGTGTGAGTGTTTTGAATATTAATTAGGGTGCCATGGAACTGCTGTCGATGTTAATGAGAAACAGCGGGGGTCTGGGCAACATCTGGTTTAGGACTTGAGGTAGTATCAAAACCTTTAGCTCAAACACACCTGGACTTTAGCCCTCGGTCGCTTTGTTGCCATTATTGTTCTTTTTGAACAGCTGCTGACTCTAATGCCATGTTTAGCATCTGACATGGAGGAACAGCTTATGGACTAGCAGCGTGTCAGAGCCAGCACCCCAAAACGCTTTGTACAGGCACGAGTTTGATTTGCTGTTTATTCTTACTGCTTGCTGAAGCCCTTCCTGAAACAGTTAATTAAAAATCCTAAGGTTGCCTGCCTCCCCCACGAGTTTAAAAACCACTTCTTTAACTTTTAATGAAAGTCTCTGGTGTAATGCAGTCATTGCTGGTTTTTACTTCATCTGGATTTTCCTTTTTTTTTTGATAGCAAAAGTATTAGGTGAAAGAAATAAGAAAGAACCTTACCATTTGGATATAAGTGGGTATAAGTATACATTTACAAGAGTTTTTAATCTCCATGGAATTTTAAATAGGGCAAGTTTCCAGGGACGCATTACCCTTGGAATGATGTAGGTATATGCAAATGAAACTCACTGACTCAGCCTTGGGAAGCAGGTAAATGTCACTGTTTTAAATGTAGAGATGGTTGAATGAAGCAATGTCAACTGCTTGGTCCAAGCCATACACTAAAATAGTACCAAAGATGTGGTTAGAATTAGGGTGAGTTTGATTGCTGGTACAGTTTTAATATTTTAGGACGCACTGAATGCCTTTTACAAGGGAAGATACAGTTTTCCCTTCTAAGCCTACTGTGTACCAAGGCTTATTCCTGTGCTGTGATTTTGCAAGTTTTTAAAAGCTCTTGAGTTTAGGACCAGTTCAGGTCAGAGGACTGATGTCTGAATTAGTTGTAATTGACTGGAAATGTCCTGAAGTGCAAAGTGCAAAAAAAATCCAGCCTATTCTGAAATTAGGAAATCAAGGACCGATGAGTACAAATCGGCAGAATACCTACAGTAGTCCTGTGCAGGTACTTGCGCATGCTTTAGTGGGAGAATTTTGAAAAAGTAATTAAAGTTTTAATCAAATATTCATTACTACATTACCTGATATTTAGAGGGATACTTTCATCTTGCGCATCTGATTCCTTGTCTTAATGCTGTGTCATCTGCACCATCGTGGTTTTGGTCATCTTTTGTATAGGTTCTGAAAGATTGTTCTGTACATTTCCTCCCCTAGAATTACTGCTATTTGGTATGAGCAGAGCATTTAGTCAGAAGTCTCTAACTGATCAATTAACATGCTTGACTGTCCTTTATAATTAATCAGACATAAAGATGGATCTGTCTATAAGGAGATGAGGGCGTTTGGTTTTAGTTGTATAGGCTTATTGCATTACGGAAATGGAATACTTTTGTCTTCAAATTTAAAGTTCTTAAATCTATCTTTTGACAGCCTCTAACAGAATTTTTCTTTGGTGTTAACTCAAGATTTTGAACTGATGCACTTTTAGATTCAAATGTCTTAATTTTTCGACTGGATCTCATTTACTTTTTTTGTGGTTTTCGCCTGCAGTCGCTCAACACCTCAAAATATTTCTGAATATCTCATAGAGCATTATAGGGAATATATTTAATTTTCACTGTATGGTTGTGTTATCAGTGTGCACCCAAATCTCGCCCTGTGTGTAGGCTGCATGTGTTGCGGTTGTCAGAGCTCTGTAGTGGCTGTTGCACTCAGTAACCTTTGGAATACCCTGAGCTTTCTTTGTCTGAATTGAGGCATTAGTTCAGGCAGATTTCACTGACCTCTCCCAGTTAAAGTATAGTCTACAATTACCCAGGAACAGCAGAATTGTTTGTCTAATTAAAATAAGATTTAATAGGGTTAGCAAAATGGATTTAATTAGATAAGAAACCACCATTGCGCCCTTTTCGGGCCAGCAATCGTAGCAGAATCCTATCATCGCGTTCTGCGTTACGTGTGCAGGATGATCGCTTCTTTTATCTCACACCGCATTTCTTCTTCCTTTTCTTTCTTCCTTTGATTTTACAGGGTAATCAGGAAGCTACAGCACCTCCTGACACAATGGCACAGCCTTACGCCTCAGCCCAGTTTGCTCCACCTCAGAACGGTATCCCTGCAGAATACACAGCCCCTCATCCCCATCCAGCTCCAGACTACACAGGCCAAACCACTGTTCCAGAGCACACGTTAAACATGTACCCTCCTGCGCAGACACACTCCGAACAGAGTGCAGCTGACACAAATGCACAAACTGTCTCCGGCACAGCCACAGTAAGTCAAGGTTACAGCTATTTCTAAAGCAATATTCTTCAACGCGTGCGTTTATTGCGCTTCCTTTGCGGTAGGTTTGCTCGCCATTGCCAGGTTGAAAGTCTGTCAGTCATCGAGCTGGGAGAATATAATTTCGCTGCTTTTGGAGCCTCTTAGTAAGTGTGGGAGCTTTGAAAAAACAGTAGTTTTCTTTTCTAAGACAGACAAAATGATTAATAGAAAGCCCAGGAATCATATAATGAAGTTTGAGTCCAATATGGGAAAACATTGCAAAAGCATGTTTGTAAGCGCTTATTTGGGAAAAAAAAACCCAAACAAACCCTAATGCAGACTGATTCTGTTGTTTTTAATGACCTCTGTATTTTTGATAGTTACAAGTAGTTTTTCATAGATGTGGTCATTGAATGATACTGAGCTAAAATTATTTGCAGAACTCTGTGAATGAGTATTGTGAAGAGCATGTCTGTAATACTCGGTTTTCTAGAGAGGTTGTTTGTGCAGCCGTTGGTTGAGAAGTTGTGTGTGGATCTGTGCTCAGCAGAGCAGAAATGGTAGACTTTTGTTCTATTTGATTTATAGGTGAAGTTCTCAAGTGCCATGAATTATGCAAGAGACTCCTGGGATGGCCCTACCTTGTAATTTAAGTCACAAATTTCGCACATTGATAGTTTAGTGCTTCTGTCTTAATTCTAGATTGGGACCCAATATATCCAGTACCAAGAGCTGGAGATTGCTGAGCCATCAACCCCAGCTGTGTTCCATACCTCATCTTACCTCCCCTTCCTCCCCTGGCATATGTCCAGGCAAAAAAGTTTCATGCCTTAGGGCAAGAGGAAAGGGAAAGCGTGTTCCCCTACATGAATTGTTCTCAAGGTTTATGTTTATTGCCACGTCACTAATTTCTTTATGTGGGTATGAAGAAAGAAAAGCGGTAGCAAAAGCAGAAGAGAGTATTCCTTGATATTATCATGGAGATGTCCTTATGAATTAACTACACAGTTCTGTGGCTTATGCAGGAAAAATCAGTCCTTTTGGCTTTGACTTGATAGCTTTTGATTGCCCTGATTGGCCCTTTAGTAGTGTGAGAAATTTTAAGAGGAAGTGTGAGTAAATGGAATGCCCTTTACTCACATCTTATAGTATTCTTTGCAGCTCTACAGTGTCCTCTCTTATTCGTCTCTTTGCCTCCTCATTCTTTCCAGCTTTTTACATTTTCTTCCATAATTATTTTTGATTGTTGTCAAACTCTTGTCATATGCCACTGATGCTGGATTGGAGTAGGAACCCTAAGCTGAATAGATACTCCAGAAGAGATTGGACATTGACTAACCCCGCAGTCCTTTCTACTGTCCCTGTCCTATTTTTTTTACATTCTACTATTCTGTTTGCTCTTTTGACCACGGCTGCACACTGAGCAGTCCACAGTGTTGCCCAGCTCAGCCTTTCCCTATTGTGAAGCCGTTGATCTGTTTGTTGTTCGGTTCTGAGGTGAAAGACTGTCAGTGCTAAAATCAATGGTGAAACACCTGTCGATACGAGTGGGGCAGGAGCTCATCCCTCAGCATTTATAGCTTTCAATTTATTGTGTTTTCTCACCCCTTTTTGATCTTTCAGTTTGAAGAAATGTTAGTCTCTTTATCAGAGAAGTCAGGTCTGCCATTTGCTGATATTTTCCGTGGCAAAGGCTGATGAAAAGAAGTATTTTGGATTGTCTGCAATGCCCCTATCTGCTGCAGGTGCTTTATTCAATTCCAGCTCTAGCAAATCCAGCGATTCCCCTGAAAGTTTCCTGCTTCTCATATACTAATAGGCTTTGTTGTTATTTGGTCTCATATCCTTTGCTCTCTGCTCTTGTTTCCTTTTTACTTTCCTAATATCCAGCTTACTTTTTACCTCTCATACATTTTCTCCCTTCCAGTTCCACTTGGAGTGAATTTCCATTCTCTGAAGGGGTGGCACTTCAGTTCCACTAACCTTTTGTATTTGGGGAATATGCTACAGCTATTTGGTCTTTTTATTATGGATCCTTCTCTTGCCTTCCTGTTTCCTTTCTTCCAGAGGAATGCACGTAACTTTTTGAAGTAGCTCCCATGCTGTTTATAAAGAATTAGATTTCTTTACTTTTGACTTGAGGGTATTTTTGAGAAAGTTTTGTTTTGTTTTCGAAAAATATATTTTTTTCTATATTGCAATGTTGTATTTAAAGTTGTGGCTACTATCCCTCCCTGGAGAGCAATGCATTGAAAATTCAAGTTTACAATAACTGTATCTCTCCAGATCTACATTGTTCAAAGTAGCCTCGACATTTAACATACTACTCACCAGTTAGTTTTACGAATTTACGGGTAAATATCGTTGGCACAATTTAATTATGGGTACCTAGATCTAAAATCTGTTATGCTGTGTCTCATTAGCATTGCATTTAACACACTGTAAAGATGTTATAAATAGGGTATGTGCAGATAGATCCCAGGCTGGCTTGACGTGGGCTTTGTAATATTATGGGGGTCCAGCTGTGTACCTCTGTCTGTGGGTTTAATAATGTAAGTTTTTATTATGAAATAGAACTTTAATAGCACTGTGTCAACATTGTAACTCCATGAGGTCTTTATTGTTCAAGGAAAAAAAAATAATGTGGTTTTTTTTTCCAATTGCTGCTAGCTTTCTGAATAGTTGGCTTCCAATCTTAAAGAATTTTAAGTGGGATTGGTGTGGGGACATAGTAGCATTTGTTTGGTAGGTTCCAATATTTTATCATAGCTTCCTTTCAATATTACATGCATTAAAAAGAAGGCTATTCAGTTGATCCATCGTTCACAAAAGAACACTGATGTGATTGATGCAGATTGGACAAGAGATTGAAGGTGATACCAATTCTTGAATTTTCTTATTCACATGCATATTTATGTACACGTGAAGCTAAAAATTAATACCCCTGAAAATGAATACCACTAAAAATGGATCTTAAGATTTTGAAATATGAGGCTAATAAGCTGCAGAACAGTTACCTATTTTGTACAACTGCTACAAGAAGTGACTTAACCTCATCCATGAAGGACTTGATCCACACTGAGGCTAGACACATACTCTGGCCTCCTCTGTGCCCCAGTTTCTTTCTTTTTGTCTGGAAGAATCATACACTCAAGCTAGAGCTTGTGTTGGATCTAGTGCAACTTAAACCCCAATAAAGATAAAAACAATAAGGATAAAAAAACATATTCCATCCAACTTTTCTTGAATTTTTTACTGCAACACAGAGTGTGATCCCAGCCCAGATGGAACCACTGTAGTACCCCGATTTGCTGCAAGTTGAACAAGTTTCCAAGCATTAGTTTAGTTAGGGGTTTGCAACTTTGTGCCAAGTAGCTTGCTATTAATATAGAAAATCTATAGACTTGATTTCATTAGAAACATTCCTAAAAGCAGAATCTGTAGGCTCTAGTAAAGGTTTCCTGTGTTGTCTCTGGGCATTCAGAGCCCTGGCAAGCCAGAACGACAGTGCTTGAAACCGCCTTTGAGTTGGTGTGGGACGTTAATGAGCACAGCCTCACAGAACACGCACTGTATAGAATGTGTGCTGGGAAAGCTGACAAATCTGGTCAGAAGAGAATGTATGCTTTTCTTTGATTAAAATATTTTGTAAAGAATGTAATAGGAAGGGATCCTTTTTTATTTTTGCTCTTGGAGTTTTCTTTTTATAACAAAATGTTGCATGAACCCTTTCCTACTTTGAGCTCCTCCAGGGAGCACGGATAATATCTGAATATAACGCTTTGGGTATCTTTTGTCCTTTGTAGCACTGACTTTCCGTCGACTTCTGACTAGCTTGGGCATCTACCCTGGCAAAAGTCATGCTCTTTTCCTTACCCTTCTCTCTCAGTTTAATTCCAAATCTCACTTGGAAAATTGTGATTAAGGAGTAGGGAATGTTCTGATGTCGTTAAGATCTTACTTTTCTGCATGCTAGGCGTAGCTAATTCCGATGCGATTTAATGGACAGTCATTTAGCAGTGAAGATAGGGAATTAAAAATGCTCTTACATTTCAAAAAGATTGTATTTCCTAGTGATTTTTTTTTAATCGGTTACTTTGATAAAATAGTGTAAAGCAGTGTTATGTTAGGATAAGTATTGGACGTAAGAGATAATTAGATTATGTGTATAGGGACTGCTACCTCTGTACTTTGATGCTATGAAATAGGAGAAAATCTACAGGATGAAAGGGGACTAAATGTTTAAAGACAGGATGATTTAGCCAAAACTATGTAAAATCATAAGTAGGTGATAAAATACTGTATACATAAGTAGGTGATAAAAATTACTTTGAGTCTTCTCTGAGTAATCTGATTTTCATCTTTTTGGATCAATATGTTTGTTTAACTTTAATCAAGGAAGTAGTCCATCTGAGTATATGCATAATCAATACTCATCCAGTACTGGGTTATTTAAGTGCTGGTTGACTTTTGGAGTTGCACAGTGTCAAATGTGCTTTTAGTCATTAACAAAAATAGTAAATTGCTTCTTTCAAGAAGGATGGATCAATTTTAAATGTGTTACAAAGTTTTGGTAAAAGTAACATATCTGATTTTCCAGAGTGGTTTTAAGGATTATGCTAAATAGTTATGTATTTTAAGGTATTTTTGAGTAAGACATTTGATCATTTTATAAAATATCAAATTACCTTTTTACCTGTGTGGGCATATATATATATATATATATGCAAAAATTGTGCATATATAGTTCCAAGAGTAAAACTTGTTTAATATTTTCCTATGCTTTTTCATGCACACCTTCTGTTGATGTCGTTGGGAGATGAGTGTGTAAATATAGAGGGCATTAGAATCATAGGATTGTCAGGGTTGGAAGGGACCTTAAAGATCATCCAGTTCCAACCCCCCCACCATGGGCAGGGACATCCCCCACTAGACCAGGCTGCCCAGAGCCCAGGCATGTGTAGGAAAGCAGATAATAGTAAAGTAAATGCTTCTCTAGTGTTTCCCAT